AGTCACTTTTCTGTTGCTGTAATAGAAACACTGACCCAAGCAATTTATAGAAGGAAGAGTTTATTTGAGCTTACGGTTTCAGGGGAATTACTGTCCGTCATGGCAGGGAGGCATGGTGGCTGGAGGGGGCTGGAGCAGGAGCAGCAGAAGCTAAGCCCTCACATCATCACACAGGCACAGGAAGAAAGAGGGTGAAGGCAGATCTGGAAAGGCTTAAGAACTCTGTAAGCCCACCCCCAGTGACGTACTTCCTCCAGGATAGCCACACCTTTTAAAACCTCCCAAAACAGTGCCATCATCTGGGGACAAAATGTCCAAACACTTGGAGTCTATAGGAGATATTTTCATTCAAACCACCACAGTCCTTCTGTAGGGTCTGTGACCTCTCCAGCCATGTGTGCTTAGCTGTGTTTACAGTGCCATGCATGAGTTCCCTCTGATCAGTGGGCCGAAAGTCCTATTAGACAGCTGTTCATTACTGCCAAGATAAAAGCTCCACTATTGCATCAATGACTTAAAATCTGAATGAGAGTAAGGTCTACTAACACATAACAAATCATTTGGATAACTAATTATGATTTTTTCTGAAATATTTTTTAGTGAATTTTTGTGCATTCCATACAAAATATCTTATTCACATTTAGACATCTTCCCCTATCTGCAGCACCCCATAGCCCACCCACAGGACTTCATGCATTCTGTTATATAAGTTAAGGTCCATTGAGTCAACTTTGTGTACCCAGATGTCTCTAGATGAGTTCAACCATTGGAGCATGTTCAGCCTATCTAGATTCTCTTCCTTAAAGATCAACTCTCCCTCACCCAGCAGTAATCAGTTACCAATTGTTCCTCAGCTAAGGTTGGGGCCTGCTGCCCATTTCCCCAGTTCTATGCTGGGATTTGCCTGATTGAGTTTGTGTGGGTCTTGTGCATGCTGTCACCACTGCTGTAAGTTCATATGAGCAAGGTCCCAGGAGCCTGGAAGGTTCTGTTTCCTTATGAACATGCACCTCCTCCCCTGGCTCTTAAAATCTTTCTACCCCCTCTTCAAAATGGTCCCTGGGTCTTGGGTGGGTGACGTTTAATATTGGAGTCTTATAAAGGGACACACACTCTGCAGTCTCTTATTTTCTACAATTTGGTCCATTGTGGCCTTCTGTGTTGCAGGAGGAAGCTTTACGGGTGAGAGCTGAGAAATGCATTAGTATTCAGGTCCCCCCCCCGCCCCCCCCGCCGCCGTTCCACTATGTTCCTGAGCCTTAGGTGTAGAGGTTCTATTGTAGATGTATCACTTAGGGCTGGGCATTTCATAATTTATTCTCTGTGTGTGATTAGTTGTGGAACTCTGTAATAATCTCTATCTGCTGTAAAAAGAAGCTTCTTTGATGAGCGGTGACTGGCATACTTGTCTATAAATGGACGAACCCATATTTAGTATATAGTAAGAAATTATGTTTGTCTAGGGATGTTACAGGCATAGGGTTTCTTCTAGGATCTATGACCTCTTCAATCATATATATTTGGTTTACAGACCCACCCATGAGTTCCCTCCCATTGATCAGGCTTTAAGTCCGATTAGATAGCTGTTCATTACTCTCAAGATAAAAGTGCCTCTACTGCACCGATATAGTTTGATATTTACTTATCTTAACCTTGGCCTCCAAAGAGCTGCCGTTTTAGTTATCTAAGTAGTCTATCTGAAATTCTTCTGCAGGTCTTGGCCCAGGGGGTGCTATTCATGTGCATGAACACAGCTGGAATCTTCATCAGTTACCTGTCCGACCGTGCCCAGCGCCAAGCCTTCCTGGAGACACGGAGGTGTGTGGAGGCCAGGCTGCGCCTGGAGACAGAGAACCAGAGACAGGTACCAAGTGAAAAGTGTTTGTACCTCAGTTATTGCTGAACCATTACAGGAACTTTTTGTTTTCTTATCCTTTCAAATGCATCCTGTGTTGCAAGTGTTCTCCTACAATTTATGACTTGGAATTATAGAATCTAAAATAGTTATATTAGTCTTAAAGGTCAAAGTAGGTTGATGCTACCCTCCATATTAACTTGTTCCACAAGAAATAAATAATTGTAGTCACAAACTGGTTTCCTGACACTTTTAACGAACATGTATATTTGTGACCAAGGTTGTTTCTTAAAAACAATCACCATTCTCCTATTGGCTCTCCTTGAAAACTACAAATCGCAGGACTACAGAGATAGCTCAGTGGCTAAGAGCACTTGCTGTTCTTGCAGAGGTCCTGGGGTTCAGATCCCAGCATCTACATGGTGACTCACCAACAGTTCCAGGGGACTGGCTACCCTATTCTGGCCTCCTCAGACACCATGCAAATAATAAACTTATACATGCTAGCAAATACTCATAAACACAAAATAAAACAAAAACTATAAATTCTTATTTCAGATAAAAATTTTCACTGCATAAGAGTTTTAACTATAAAATAAACTCAATAAAGAACCTTATACAAGCCAGGTGTGGTAGCATATGACTTTAAGGCCAATATTTGGAAAGCAGAGGCAGGTAGATCTCTGTGAGTACAGGGCTAGTTTAGCCCACATAGTGAGTTCCAGGTCAATTGGGGCTACAGGGAGACCCTGTGTCAAAAAAAACCAAAATAAAAAGAATTTTATGCATATCCAATCCTTCTTACTTCCCCCTGGTTTTTAGAAGAGCTATTACACAAACTAAATGCTTTTAACCTAATGTCAAACCAAGAATGAAGGGTATAGTAGGCATATCAGGTAGGTTGGGTAGGCTTGGGGTACTGAGAAATGAGTGCCTATTTGAAAAGAGTTGAAATAAATCTTGGACATCTTGATTATAGAGAGATTATATAGAGACTTAAAAATAGCTTCAGTTGCAAATGATATGTTTCTCTAGAATGAAATCTGCTTCCAAAGGGTAAAGATTTTCTCCCATTACATATATTCATATATTCAAAATCCATACATTACATTCCCTTTGAAAGTAATTGTTAAAGAAAAATATTCAGAATATATTGAAAATCAGCTTTAAAATCAATATGTAGTCTCTTAAATTTACATGATTCTGGGAGCTCTGTGCATAACAGATGAATCAGCTACGACAGCCAGTTCTTCTTAAAGTTATGTATTTACTGTAACAAACACACCTGGAATCTTAAACCTTCTGCACTAATGGCTTGAGCAACCACACAGTAGCTGTGAAAGGTACAACACATAAGATGAAGGGTAAACAAAAGACTCAGCATTTTCTTTAGGCCCCATTTGGTTGATCATGAGGAAGACATGGATGTTTGAGGTGAGTGAATCCAGATCTCTGTTATAATATGGATGTGACAGACAGATTGGGTCCAACTTGCCAGGGTTTGGTTGTCATGGCTCAGTGCACATAAGACAAAACTGAATTCACAGATTCTACATCAGCTTCCCAGGATTCAGAGGAAGAAATCTTAAGTTAATGCCTAAAACAATTATGAAACCTCATTAATAGCTTTATTATAGTTTCTCTGAATAGCTCTTTGGATAATTTAGAAAAAACAACTTCAAAAATGAAAGCACTTTGTACAATAGACATGAGTATCTTGCAGGCTTGGGTATTATGCTCCTGTGCAAAGCAGAGCTGTTGCCAGCTGACACGTCACTCTTTCCATGGACTTGTGCCAATTCAGAAAATGCTGCCATGTTAATAATTTATTCAACTGTTCCTGATGCTCTATTGCAAGAGCCACATTATAGATGAATCTCCCAGGATGCAGCTTATGCAGTGTTTATGAAATACCGGAGACAGTGACAATAGATGTTTTATATCCTTAAGACTTCTTTTCCCGGGTCTGGAGAGATGGCTCAGCAGTTAAGAACACAGGTTGTTCTTGCAGAAGACCTGGGTTCGAATCCCAGCACCCACATGGCAGCTAACAACTGTCCATAATTCCAGTCCCAAGGGGATCCGACAGCCTCTTCTGACCTCCGTGGGCATTGCACAACACGGGTGCATTCACCTGCATGCAGGCAATACACGCATACACATTAAAAGAAAAATAATAAATAATTTTTTAAAAAAGACTTCTTTTCCTATTCTTCAATCCCAATTCTAGGTATCTCATAACCACTGTGATCTAGTAATCCAACATGGTGGAGGAATGCTTCCACCATCCTCTCTAATTGGAATTTATTTATGTGTTTAAAGATGTATTTGTTTAATTTGTGTGTGTGTGTTTATCTGTGTGCATATACTCAGGGGGGTGTGTGTGTGTGTGTGTGTGTGTGTGTGTGTGTGTGCGTGTGTGTGTGTCCAAGGATTCTGCGGCTGCTCAAGTGCACAGAATCCAGAAGAGGGCATCAGATGTTCTCCTCTATCACTCTCCACTTATTCTTTTTGAGGGAGGGTCTTCCCATGAACCTGAGACTCACATTTTTCTTGGTTACACTGGAATCCAGCTGACCTCAGAGATGGTCATGTGTCTGCCTGCCACCCTCTGCCCCTTCAAGGCTTTAGGCTTTTCTGGCTTGTTTTATGAGTGCTGGGATCCAAAATCTGGTCCTCATGATGTGTAACAAGCTCTCTTAACTACAGAGCCATTCTTCTAGACCCTTAATTTATTTTCTAAGTTGTTAGGAGGAAGAAAAGAATAATATACTGGTGTTCTCAAGAGATGATGCAAATAGTTCAAAAGTCACTAGAGTTTGTACCATGGTTTACCGCTTCTTAGTTGGGCTGCCTAAGCTACTAAATTCTCATGTTTAGGTTCCGCATCTGGTCATCAATCTGCATATTTCTTTTCAGCATTGTATTTACATCACACTAGATGAGGAATATATGAAAACACAAAATTATGACTCTGCTTCACTGGTTTCATGGATGAAAGACAAGTAAAAACTATGATTTGGTGAAGATTATTCTTTCTAAAGATTAAATAAAACATGCTGCAAGCTTCTTGCAGTCCTGTGTTCACAACATGATCAAGAATTCTTGGCATATTGGCTCCCCTTTTTCCTAGCACCTAAGACAGCTGTCTCTGTACCATTCAGTGCTAAAGTTACTTTCCACTGACACTTGATCTCTGTTTCATGTTTCCATCATTCCTGAGAGCTGCCTATGTGGGAGAAGGACAATGAGGTCTAACAGAGAAGACACACGCTTTTAAGTGAGGCTGTCCTGGATTTGAAATCTTTGCTGGTTACTATTTTGGTCAGCTTGAGCCCAGTCTGAGTCTTCTTTTCTCCATCCATAGCAAGAGGATAATAATATCCTGCCTGAAAAGTCTCCTTAACAGTTTGAAATACTATGTGCAATGCCTTTGCAACTCAGTGAAGAGTTTCCATTAGTGTTATTTGTATAATTATTTATATGAGTCAGCCAACACAGTTAAGTCCCCAGAGGATGCATTTGGGAAAACATTATGAATTGGCTTGTTTCATTTGCAATAATCCAGAGTTATTTATTTCGAAGAAAATGAAAATGGTGACTTTCCTTAAGTAACCAGACCTCATCTTTATACTTCATCTATATTTTAAAATATGCATCATTAACAAATTCATCCTCATTTACCTCTTATCAGAGCTAATTATAATAATACTATAACTGTTCACAATTCCACTCCATGCAAAGGAGACATTGTAAGACCCTAAATGACAGAGAATAAATGTTTTTTCCTTGGATAATTATTCTGAGGGACTTTTTACGGTATGTTTTGCAAGTCAAATGCAAAGCCAAAAAAACTACATTGAACATAAATGATCAAGTTTGGTAGATTTTTTTCAAGCATTAACTTGATTTGATGGTAGAGTGCAAAGGAAATACTTAAATCACTTACTTGTTCAACCATAAGCTGACTTATTAGTTGAGGATGGGTTATGTGGGAGGAGTTCTGCTGGGTATTGCGATTAAAATGGTGGCTCATCATCAGTACCTGGCCTTACAGTGTTTCTCAAGTAAAGAAGGAAGCAGACAACTCCACAGGTACTCCTGGCAATAGTGGTTGGTCACAGCTAAACTGCAGAAATTCAGAGGTTTGCCCAGAAGAAACATTATACAAACTGACCCATGGAAGAGATTCATCTCATGAATGGTTACAACACACAGGACAAAGTATATAAGAGCATCTTGACAAAGAATACAGTTTGCAGGGAGAAACTAAGAACACTCCCATGGTTATTCATTAACATTTTCATCTACCTAGGCACTCGGTCTTGTTATAAATAGAGACAATTTTTAACTCTAGACTGGACCTAGACAATGGCAGAACTTCAGTTGTTAAAATTATTGAGAAAAAAACACTGATATATGATCTGTTGAAGGATAACCATGTTGGTAGGTTTTGTCTGATGCCCTCCAGCTAATGTGAACTTCTTCAGTGGATCATTACTACTTTCCATTCAATGAAAAATACATATTTCTTCAGCATTAATTATGAATGAGTCATTACTCAAAGTACTCTGTGCACAGGGTGAAGAAAATCTATTGCAGAGGTCCATCACAGCATGCTGTGTTGGATCCCAATCTTTTCTTGCCTGTTTGTTAGGGGAAACTATGAGTCCTGAAAGCAAGTTTCAGGTCTCATTTCTCTCTACGTACAACCTAGAGGTGCCTGGAAACCATCGTGAAGTATGAGAGTATAAATGATTTGTCATCAATATTTAATGGTGGGTATGAAATTTTCTTCCAAATAAAACTTTTCACATAGTAGCTGAAGGGCAAGTGGTTATGAACCATGTTTCCTTTGGTTTTGGGTTCCTACCATGTAATCAGATACCTGAAGTCCTGGGAAACAGGCCTTATCCTTTGGTAACCTGAAATTTCATACAGGCTTCTTAAGGTCAAAAACTAGATTTTAAAAAATTTTTTTATAAAAACTTTACTGAGAATTTCATACA